GAGGCACACATGAAGGTTGCCATAAGTATTATTAGTACAACTTCAACCTCTTTTCCATGGACTGGCAGTTCCATTTAAAGTGCTCCTCTCCTTTCTACTTAAATCAACACCACAGAGCTGGATCTGGCATTAGAAAGCTAAGAAATCAGTACAGAACCACTGCTAAAATGAACTGCAATGCAGGATTACCTCTATTACTCTTCAGCTTTTCACTGAGTGACCAAAATAAAGCCTTACACAGTTTCAAGCTACCTAGTTCATACCTTAGAAAGCAAGAACACTTAAGGGATAAACATCTGAATGAGGATAATGCCAAAAGGAACAATGGCTTCTAGAGAAATACAGGAATGCAGACAAGACTTTCCAGGAATATACATACTAAGTAGTAGAATAACACACTGGAACCCTAGTTAGGAGTGTAATGTCTGAACAGACTCAATATATAGTGGAGAATGACAGCAGAAAGAGTCTGCTATCAGTTCCACAGAATTTAGAGTCATCTCTCCCCCAGCTTAACAAAAAAAACAAAAAAACACAGTTAAACTACTAAGTTCAACAGTAGCACTGACGTCACACATTTTATTACAAGCTGCTTTGAAGTTAGTAGTATTCCCCTTATATGTTTAATGGATCAAGTAGAGACCAGCTGTTCAGCCCAGGCTCCAGTTCAAAGCAGCCCAAGGTATTAGATTCTACCTCAAACGGAAACACAGGAGAAAAGGAGCATTGGGGAACATAGATAAGCACAAAAAGTCTAATTTTGTTTCCTTACAGAACTGAAAAAAGACAAAGCACAGCAGGACCATCTCTTGGGTGACTACATGACAATGTCTGAAGTCACTACGAAGTGCTGCAGCTTGATAAATGCCTCCAATATCAAGCACTCTTGAGGAGACAGTTTTGAGTTACTCCAAAAGAGAATTAAGTTACCATTTCATACTGCAACTGGGGAAAGACAGAAGGAACCTTAAAGCTGGCAGCATTCTAGAGAGCTGACAGACATCTGCCAGCGAAAGAGTGACTTAAGTGTAATGCTGTGGGATACAGATAATGCCTTTCAGCAATGCCCACGGAACTGCACACTGCACATCAAAACATCCACAGTGGAGGAAAGCTTAGCTTTCTATCAACTAACAGCTAACTCAGGAATGGTGCTAGTATTAGAATGACACAGTACAAAGACATATCAAAATGTTTTTTTAATATATAATTTAAAAAACATTACCTCAATGGAGAAGTGAGAATTAACCTGATATTCAGAGGAAGAATACACTCCTTAGGAGCTCAGACACTTAACAGAGGCACCCAATGCATCTGAAAGGGTAACACATGGACAAGTGTATTTTAAAAAGCCAGATGTTCACCACACACAGCTGGGAAACAGAGCACTTCTGACTCTGGGGGAGAACACTGCTGAAATGCCAGGGCACACCCAGCACACTTCTCCAGCCTGAAGAACTACAATGCCCTTCAAGTGCTTACCCCGACAAAGGTGAAATTCCTTTCAGAACTATTTTCTTGGTTAAACTCCCTCACTCAGACATCCAAGGTCTCTCACCACAAAAAGACCACATAAACACATCAAAGCACAAAGATGTTCTCAGCAGCACAACACTAATTCAGCTGAAAGACAACTCAGATCATAAACGCAAATCAGCCAAATGTGGGAAATTTCAATGCAGGGCGTTAGGCATCACATTTGCATCGTACTATTTATTTTAAGGGGCAATGACCTCCATATAAGCAAGTTTCAACCCAGAGAAATTCCTTTGTTCTTCAGTTTCACATCATCCACTGCTGTCCAGCTTTCAGGCAAATGATTTCTACTGTAGTGCAAAAAGTACTGTCTGCCTTTCCTTTCCTCTTCTGGTTTCTGATGAAGAGGTTTCCAGGGAAACTTTAAACCATACTCACTAGAAAAAACAATATTTTCCAACTCAGAAAAATACAGTTCCTACTAAAGTATGCTGAGGAGAGCAGTACCATGCCAAAACTAAGCTCCTGTTTACTGCTTTAATGAGTTCCTTCTTGAATATGCATGGGTTTGTTAAATGCTGGAAAATCATCTGCACTCTCCTTTTGGCTTCTTGCAAAGTATGATTGGTTAACTAATCCACAGAGCACTGAAAACTCTTGTGCATTTCCAAGAATCTATGATAACTACAGGAATACTTTCCATGTTTAGTTTTAGGCTCTTCAAAATGAGATGACAATGACATTCCCCATTTATGGCAAGAAAGAATTTTCTGTCTCTTCAAGATTGGTAAAACACCATGAAAGTAAAGCTTGGCATATGCTACACCACACAGCTGCACTACCTGCTCAGAGCAGCTGCTGAATACAGCAACTGGGGAAAAGCCCACAGCAGAGCAGGACCACAGCACCTCCAGACAGGTCAGGGGGCCAAACAAAAGGATGTGACTGCCTCAGGACAGGCAGCATGGCTCTTTAATCTCCCAACCATTCTCTGAGCTTTACTGAATCCAGAAAATGTTTTGAAATCAGTAAACAATACATCATTAATTGATTTATTTGCACATGTTCCCAAAAAACAGGGAAGAAAACCGAAGGCACCAGTGCATTTATTCACAGAAGGCTGAGGGAGCAATCAACCAAGGTTCACATTTTCAGGTACTTTTAACAACTTCCAAAACCAAGAGGCAATTCAGTCATTCAAGCTGAGGTGGCAAGAACAGCAATTTAAAAAGAACACAATCAAGTGTGCAGAGAGGAAGGGAAGAGACTGAGATGACTATCAGATAATGGCATGAGTGAGCCAGCATCTTCAACCTGGGAGTTCAGTCAACTAATGCAATCAGCCTGAGCTAAAGTTTATACAGAGCACAAATACTACACGTGCAAGAAGTCTTTATTAAAAGTGACGTGCTAAAATACTCATATTGAAGTCTAAAACTCCAGTTCCTGCACTTATACTGCAACTCATTTTAGGGGGAGGCTGGAGGGGTAATGAAGATATTTTTCTGGTCCCCCAACAGATCAGGGAAATCCCTGTTCAGAGTAAAGAGAGAAGTCTGTTTGATTACAGTAAATCCTATTAAACTGATCCTCCGTATAAAGGGCTGAAGTGACCAACTGCAAAAGCCTAATAAGACACAATGAATTCAGAGTTTAATTAGGGCACACTGTTAGCTAACTATAATCTATTAATTAGCATTCTTAGTTTTTACAGCTCATTGCAATAATACCCTTTTACTTTTAAATTGCACCCTTCTTATTTTTGGGCCAAAGTTATACAATTCTACCAGTGTGGTAGTAATTACAGTGACTGCCTAGAGAACAGCAGCCTCAGAATATCTGTAAATGTTTAATTAGGGGATAAAGGGAAGACAAGAAAACAAAATCTAAGACATGAATAGATTAGGGAACAGTGATCCCTTTATTTAGTAACTGCTGAATCCATTCTAACCATATATTCGATGCATCTTTCTTGCAAGATTTCCACAGCATCCACGAATGTCAAAATTGATTTCAGAAAAAGATATTATATTCAAAGACATTCTCTTCAGTATGGAAACAGGACTGAAAAGAACTTGAGAATTAGAAGACTTACCTGCAAATGAGATACAAAGAGCATCAGAAAATTGAGCGCATGGTATTCCACATATTCATTATCCTCATACTGCACCACTATAACCAAACTTTTCACTGCATTACTCCTACTTTTGCAATAATAATTATGTAACTGGAGGTTTTCTGCAATCCAAGATGAGATATGAAAATGAACACAAAATGTCACACACCATAACAAATCCCATGTTGTGCTACTTACCATTTGGTAAGAATGCAGCTATAAAACCACATGACAAATTCATTAAGTTATTTCACACTACCTCAGACCAAGCAACTTACTTTCTTCAACTCAGTTCTTAAAAAAGTTAAGACAAACCAGCAAGCAGGTTCTATGCAGCAGATTATCACTAACCAAAAGGAATCTACTGCTTAAAAGAGGTCACCTGAGAGTATA